AAAAGTTACGCAAAATATTAAGAAACAGAAAAAATGTTGTTAGAAACAAAGAAAAAAGTACTGAATTATTACGCAATATCTGTCCTCCTATACAACAGAAACAAAGAAAAGAGTACTGAACTGTTACGTAATATCAATCCTCCTATATGGCAGTAAATGCTGGACAATCTCCTCACAGATTAAGACGAGACTTGAAGCAATAGAAACAAAGAAAAGATTACTGAACTGTTACGTAATATCAGTCCTCCTATATGGCAGTAAATGCTGGACAATCTCCTCACAGATGAAGAAGAGACTTGAAGCAACAGAAACAAAGAAAAGAGTACTGAACTGTTACGTAATATCAATCCTCCTATATGGCAGTAAATGCTGGACAATCTCCTCACAGATTAAGACGAGACTTGAAGCAATAGAAACAAAGAAAAGATTACTGAACTGTTACGTAATATCAGTCCTCCTATATGGCAGTAAATGCTGGACAATCTCCTCACAGATGAAGAAGAGACTTGAAGCTACAGAAACAAAGAAAAGAGTACTGAACTGTTACGTAATATCAGTCCTCCTATATGGCAGTGAATGCTGGATAATCTCCTCACACATGAAAAAGAGACTTGAAGCTACAGAAACAAAGAAAAGAGTACTGAACTGTTACGTAATATCAGTCCTCCTATATGGCAGTGAATGCTGGACAATCTCTTCACAGATGAAGAAGAGACTTGAAGGCACAGAAACAAAGAAAAGATTACTGAACTGTTACGTAATATTAGTTCTTTTATATATGGTAGTGAATGCTGGACGATCCCAGATGAAAAGAGACATGAAGAAACAAAAACATAGAAAAAATACGGAAATATTACATAAAATCTGTCCTCCTATATGGCAATGCATGCTACAGAATCTCTTCACAAATGCCTGTATGGTAGTGAATGTTGAACAATCTCTCATTGATGAAGACCAGCAACAGAAATGTGGTTCAACAGAAGAATGCTAAGAATACCATTGACTGAACACGTGACCAACGACGAAGTTTTAAAGAACGCGGAAACAAAAAGGACATATTTAATATCAGAATTCCAGTTGAAATCTCTAGGACACATAATTAAGTGGATTTAGAATATATATATATATATATATATATATATATATATATATATATATGTGTGTGTGTGTGTGTGTGTAAAGGTTTTTATGTATTAACAGCTCTGTCTCTCGCTTAGCGATGTTTAAAAATGGGTACCTGTTTATTTCGAGATTCTTGACAACATCCAATAAAAGGATCTTCAATGTTATCGGTCCTGATCTGGAATCTCGATTTCAGTCAGCGCCTTGGCGTGGCTTCCCTCTGTCTTTTCTATAAATATTTTCATGGCAGTTGTTCTAATGAGCTCACCTCCTTGGTACCTCGACCGAATGGATTTAAGCGTACTACTAGATTGGCAATTAGGTCTCATCGTTTTTATTGTTGAATTAGCTAGATTTTTTTGCTTTATTTTATTAATGTTCTCCTAATACAAGTCCCAAGAGCCACTTAAGGCAGAGGTTTACTGCGTGCTGTTGTATGAACATAAGAAAGAACAAGTGAAGTTCTTGGTGGCTATACAGGATAGACTTGAAGAAATTTAATTAGTGAATAACATTTTAGAGTTCACGCAGAGTGTGAAAGAAGAAATCAGAAGGAACCGGAAACCCAATCCTGAACAAAAAACAAGGGATAAACCTCGATTCCTGTTAAAAAAAAATCTGAGAAGGAGTTTGAACCGAACGATAAGTAAAAAGACGGTAAGAAAGAAAGAAAGAAAGAAAGAAAGAAAGAAAGAAAGAAAGAAAGAAAGAAAGAAAGAAAAAGGAAAGAAAAAAGAAAAGAAAAAAGAGATGTCTGAGATAGATAGATAGATAGATAGATAGATAGATAGATAGATAGATAGATAGATAGATGAAAAATGACAGAAAGAATGGTAGGAGGGGGTAGAAAGTTACTAAAAGAGAACGAGAGAGTAAAAAGAAAATTACAAAAGTGTGGGATAAAATCAAGGTGTGTTCAGTGCATATCGATGTCTTTTCCGTGGGAAAGAAAGAAGGAAAAGAAATGAAAAAGAAAGAAAGAAAGAAAGAAAGAAAGAAAGAAAGAAGAAAAGAAAGAAAGAAACGAAAGAAAGAAAGAAACGAAAGACAAAGAAAGACAAAGAAAGAAAGAAGGAAACGAAAAAGAAAGAAAGAAAGAAAGAAAGAAAGAAAGAAAGAAAGAAAGAAAGAAACGAAAGACAAAGAAAGAAACGAAAGACAAAGAAAGAAAGAAGGAAACGAAAAAGAAAGAAAGAAAGAAAGAAAGAAAGAAAGAAAAAGAAAGAAAAGAAAAGAAAAAAAAAATGTTTTTCGTTTCAAATGGAGTTTTGTTTTCTTTATTTTTTTCCTATTGTTGTTTATCGGGGTGCAGTTGACAGACCGACTCCCAGCTAGTTTCAAATTTCGTTTTCCTTCTCCAATATTGGTTGCTAAATCTAAATAAGTTCACAGAGTTTTCATTGTTCACTGCAAGTAACAACTGACAAGAAGTAAAGTGATCTAGTCACACATTTGTAAGGATATTTATGCGAAAATGAATGCAACGGCCGCGGCTGGAATTTGAACACTTCACGCCAGTTTAACTTCTTGGCCCGATAATTGTTAAGCTACACACGTGATAATAATAAAAAACGTACAATAAAGGGTGCTACTATTTTTTTTCTCTCTTTGTCGACAGAAGTCTTATTTTTAAAGATTGAAATTAATAAAAATAAATAAATAAAAAGAAAAAAGACGAAAAAATTTTAATGCGTTATCAAATATTCAGGATGATTGAAAATTAACTCCCTATTTTATGTATGATGAACTCTCCGATCTTGTAAAAATTATAGCTAGACAGGAGAGTCCATCATACATGAAAAAGGGAGTTACTTTTAAATATGGGGTTATTTTTTCAATCACTCCCTATTTTATGTATGATGGACTCATCCGTCTTGTAAAAATTATAGTTAGACGGGAGAGTCCATCATACATAAAATAGGGAGTTACTTTTCAATCAATCTGTATATTAAATATATAATTATCAAAAACAGATAACATTCAAGCCTAAAAGCCACCGCTTCTGCTTCGATTGAAAAGCAACTCTCCATTTTATGTATGATGGACTCTCCGATCTTGTAAATATTATAGTTACACGGGAGAGCCCATCATACATAAAAAAGGGAGTTACTTTTTAATCTAAGCGGAAGCGGTGGCTTTTAGGCTTCTATTATATCTGTTTTTGATGATTATATATTTAATATACAGGGCGATTGAAAAGTAACTCCTATTTTATGTTTTGATGGACTCTCCCGTCCTGTAAAAATTATAGTTAGACGGGAGAGTCCATCATACATAAAATAGGGAGTTATTTTTCAATCATCCTGTATATACTTTTTTTTTTAATCGCAGGACGCCTGCTGTAAAGCAATGCTTAGTAAGAACGTAACACCGACAAATTCGCTAGTGAAGTGAGTTCAATCTTCACCAGACCCCGCACATTACGGCAGGCTAAACTTTGCTTAATAAATGACAATTTCGACACCTGCTACAGAGAGTTGAATTACAAGTACGTCTTGCACTTCCATTTATTTGATCTTCACCAGACCTCGCTTCACTGGACTACTGGGCCAGCTTAGGCTAAATTCGGAGAATTTCGGCGCTTACCGTAGCACGATATGGTAAACAGACTTCGTCTACACTTCTTTTTCTTCTCCTTTATGTACAGTTTAGGACATAGTCGATCATGGCTCTCCACAATTTCCTGACATTTGTAGCACGTAATAAATTTTCTCTTTTCGTTATTTCTCCCAAACCCTGTTACGCCTTCTATTGACTCAAGCTCGTTGGGCAGCTTATGCGTTGTTTTCCTCTGTCCTGTGAGTATCTGATTTTCCGAGCCCTCTTTCTACATTACGCTCCCCCAAAAATTTCAGTTGTCCTGATGTTATGTATGAGTTTCTTTTTTGTTTCCATTTTCTCTAAAATCTCGTCGTTGCTCACATGTTCGTCTATGGTATCCTCAACATCCTTCTGTAGAATTCTGTTGATTCAAGTCTCTTCTTCATCTTTGAGGAGATCGTCCGGCATTCACTGCCATATAGGAGGACAGATATCACTTAGCAGTACTGGACTCTTTTCTTTGTTTTAATACTCTGCTTAGCTTCTGGAAGGCATGCTATCTCAATGCGTCTTTGGACTTCAGTATCGCATTTCCCAGATATTTTAATTTTTTTGATATCTCTGATTTGCAATTTGCATTTTGGGCTCATAGTTTTACTAAGTACCATGAATTCTGTCTTCTTGCAAGTGATGTTTAGTCCTTTCTTCTTGCTTTCCTTCACTACCTTCTCTAAGAGCTTTTGTTTTCTTTCTGTGTCAGCTATTAACACAGTATTATCTGCATATCATATGGTGTTAAAATTGAAACCGCCAATAACAAATCCTGGTAGGACTTCTAGTTCTCTCAGAATCACCTCGCTGTATAGGTTGAATAAGTCCGGTAAGACGATAGATCCTTGTCTTACACCACTTTCTATTATTCCATATCATTTTCTATCTATATGCAGGTGGTTTACTGCCAGTATAAGTTCTTGATTATTCGCATATCCTTCCCATGTATATCAAGGTTGCTGAGCAGGTCCAGCAGATATATGTCACAATTTATCGAACGCCTTTGCGTCGTCTATAAAACACAGGTACACGTTCTTCTGCATTTGCCCCTAACCCTATATTGTATTGGTTTTCATCCACTCTGGGCGATCCCTTTAGGGTGACCGTGTGATAAATTCAGGATTTATTTAATTCGGATCTGAATGGTATGTGAAAGTGTACATTCGAATCGCATCAGACTAGGGATAAGAATTTCCAGAGGAAACTTGTTCTTACCTAATTTTCAGATTCATTACTAGAAATCACACTTCATATTACTTGTCTTGAGATCTGGCTGACGTTGGGCTATGGTTAACAAGCCATTCTCAAATGATAATTTGCTAGCTCACCGAGTTTTCATATACATGCAATAATGCATTCTCATGACCTTGTTCCCTAAAAAAAACAAAAGTTAAAGATTTGTTTAATTTAGATAAACGAGAAAAAAAGCTTACGGCGCTCCGTTTCTTTCTTTCTTTTTATTTCCTTTTCTTTCTTTCTTTCTTTCTTTCTTTTTATTTCCTTTTCTTTAATTCTTCCTTTCTTTCTTTTTACTTATTCTTTCTTTCTATTTATTTATATTCTTTTCTTTCCTTCTTTCTTTTTTATTTCTTTCCTTTTCTTTCTTTCTTTTTTCCTTTTTATTTATTTCCTTTTCTTTCTTTCTTTCTTTCTTTCTTTCTTTTTAGATATTTCCTTTTTTTTCTTTCTTTCTTTCTTCCTTTTTATTTATTTCCTTTTCTTTCTTTCTTTCTTTCTTTCTTTCTTTTTAGATATTTCCTTTTCTTTCTTTCTTTTTATTTATTTTCTTTTCTTTCTTTCTTTTTATTTCCTTTTATTTACTTCTTCCTTTCTTTCTTTTTACTTATTCTTTCTTTCTATTTATTTATATTCTTTTCTTTCCTTCTTTCTTTTTTATTTCTTTCCTTTTCTATCTTTCTTTCTTTCTTCCTTTTTATTTATTTCCTTTTCTTTCTTTCTTTCTTTTTATATATTTCCTTTTCTTTCTTTCTTTCTTTCTTTCTTCCTTTTTATTTATTTCCTTTTCTTTCTTTCTTTCTTTTTAGATATTTCCTTTTCATTCTTTCTTTTTATTTATTTCCTTTTCTTTCTTTCTTTTTATTTATTTCCTTTACCTTCCTTTTTTATTTCTTTTTCCTTATTTTTCTTTTTTTATTTCCTTTTCTTTCTTTATTTTTATTATTTCCTTTTCTTTCTTTCTTTTTTTATTTATTTGCTTTTCTTTCCTTCTTTTTTCTTTCTTTTTACTTATTCTATCTTTCGTTTTATTTATTTCCTACACTTTCTTTTTATTTGTTCCCTTTACATTCTCTCTTTCTTTCTTTTTATTTACTTATTTCCTTCGTTCCCTTTCTTTCTTTTTTATTTATTTCCATTTTCTTTCTATCTTTCTTTTTACTTATCTCTTTTTTCTTTCTTTCTCTTTATTTTCCTTTTTCTTTCTTCATATCCTTCTTTTATTTACTTCCTTTTATTTATTTATTTTGTTTATTTCCCATTTTTTCTTTTTATTTCTTTCTTCTTTTCTTTATTTTTCTTTATTTCCTCCATTACTTTTATTTTTTCCTTTTTTTTTTTTAGGGAGAAAGAAAGAGAAAGAAAGAAAAATTTCTTTCTCCTTATTTCTTCCTATTCTTTCTTTTTTATCACACACATACAAGTTAGCGTTTCATTCTCTTTTTATTTAATACACACACAAGCAGGTTATAACTTTAGAAAAAGATTCATTCTTAACATTACTTGCAGGATTCAGGAAATAAATATGTCAAAACTTTTATTCACTCTAATAGTTACATACAAAGATGCAGTTACGAGGTAAGCTAAAAAGTTTTCTGCCCAACAGACTTCCCAACAGACTTCCCAGCTTCATGACGGAATATAAGAATTTTGGGGAACCCCTTTATAGTTCTGATATTAAATCTTTACCAACTCCACAGCATACAAATAGCTCATATCGAAAAAGGATTGAAAGTAATTTTTCTATAGAAAGAGATTGCAATTGTTTTTACTATGAGCAATGCATTTGAAATGATTTTACTATTAGCAATGCATTTGAAATGATTTTATTATTAGGAATGATTGGAAATTATTTTACTATTGGGAATGCATTGGAAATGATTTTACTATTAGGAATGCATTGGAAATGATTTTATTAGGAATGCATTGTAAATGATTTTACTATTAGGAATGCATTGGAAATGATTTTACAATTAGGAATGCATTGGAAATTATTTTACTATAGGAATAAATTGGAAAGGATTTTATTATGAGGAATGCATTGGAAATTGTTTTGCTAACGGAATGTATTAGAAATGATTTTACCATAGGAAGCCATTGAAAATGATTTTTCTATAGGAATGCGTTGGAAATGATTTTAATATCGGAATGCGTTGGAAATTATTTTTGCTATAAGAATGCATTAAAATGGCTTTACTATAGGGAGGCATTGTAAATGATTCTTACTATTATGTATGCCACGAGAACGATTTTACCGTAGTAATTGCCTGGGGATTATTTTACTATAGTAATGCTACCAAAGGAAAGACTTGCCAATTAATATAATACACACTATTTATGCAACCCACGATATGAGGATAGGATTTATTAAACAAATACACGAAAATCTTCATTCGCTCTAATGATGACATACGTCGTAAGACATCAAATGAAAGTATTCTATCTAGAACGAAAGCGAACGCCAGCATTTCTATGGTATATATAACACATGAACCGATATACAAACATAACATTAATGATGTAAACTGATGAATAATTTCGTCTGCAACATAGCTTCTGATAAAGCGTACATTTCCTTTCTTAAATGATATTTTTTCACCCGAGAATTGATCCCGGAAGTAGATTCTTTGCACGCCTCTAATTAAATTAGGTTTGGCATAAACAAAGTCCGTCATTATGACGTAATTAATATGTTATCCAGACGAGACTGTAAAAATCATTCATGGGGCGATGAATGAATGAAGATCGTTATCAAGTAATGGTACGACATTTGAAAAAATGCAGTATTTTTCTGGGATGAGGAGTTATAATTTTTTACGTTATTTACATTCAGACTAATGTCCTTATCTTTGTTGTTATTATAACCTTTCAACTGAATTTCTGGAATGAGGAGCTATCATTATTAACATTAGGACTAATGTCCTCATTTTTGATGTTATTATCACCTGATCGCCTACTGTCTGAATTTCTGGAATGTTGAGATATAATTATTTACATTGTTTATATTCAGATTAATATCCTCACCTTTGTTGTTGTTATCATCTGATTGTCTTCCGCCAGAATTTATGGGATGAACAATTATTATTATACACATTCAGACGAGTGTCCTCCTCTTTGTTGTTGTTAGCAGCTGATCGCCTTCTTCCTGAATTTCTGGGATAAAGAGTTATCATTATTTTCATTTGTTTACACCTAGAGTAATGTCCACATCTTTGTTTTTATTACCAGCTGATAGACTTCCGAATGAATTTCTGGGATGATGAGTTATAATTATTTACATTATTAAAATTCAGACTAAAAATGCAAATCAAATACAACGTCAAGCATTCATTGGTTAATAAATCACTAATACATTTCCGACAGGCAATTTACAAATCGCAGTAATGCGACAATTTTGTAATCGCTCTATTTTTAAGTAGTCAATTTTGTGCACTTTTCGGAGAAGCGGATCACAGAAGCTTTCTTAAGTCTCCCCAAAGCTCGCTCGCTGATTGGTCGATGTCAACCAATCAGATCGTTTGCACGTGAAGAATAATTCTTCCCGCGCAACGATTTGGAGCCTATAGTCGCTTAATTAAGCCAAGATTTTTCTAATCCCAATTAGTGAGAATTCAACTGCCGAATGAATCCACGACAGTTGAAACCATGCATCAACCTTCTCCCTCACACACACCACCCACATGCTGAACATACCTTGTACACACTCACATAAACTCTTCTCACACAGCAATATCTTTCAAGAACAATCATTACAAGAGACTCTCATGAACATTCTTTCAGTGAACTTTGGAACACTAAAATATCAGTTAAAGAGAGACAACTCTTGGTTAATTCAACCTTTTCTTACTTAAATGCATGCTTTCTTTCATATCGTTGTTTGATATTGTACATCTTGTTAAATACATGTTTTGTGTGTAACAATGTCTTTTGCTTATCCTTTTCTGCGTGAGTCTTGTTTCCTAATCTAATCTAAAGTTAAATTAATGTGGTGAAGTTCGCCACATCGTCATCTTTGTTTTTATAATCAACCTTCTGACTTAATTTCTGGGATAAGTATTTGTCATTATTTACATAGTTTACATTCAGAATAATGTCCTCATCTTTGATGTTATTATCACATGGTCACCTTTTTTCCGAATTTCTGGGATGAGGAGCTATCATTATTTACATTCAGAATAATGTCCTCATCTCTGTTGTTGATATCAGCTGATCGCCTTCTGACTGAAATTCCGGGAAGATGAATTATGATTATTTACATTATTTACATTCAGGCGAATGTCTTCATCTTCGTTGTTAGTATCACCTGGGAGCTTTCAGCTTGAATTTCTGGGATAATGAGCTATCATTATTTACATTATTATTATTCAAGCTAATGTTCTCTTCTTTGATGTTATTATCACCTGGTCACCTTTTATCCGAATTTTTAGGATGAGGAACTATCATTATTTATATTATTTACATTCAGGTTAATACTCTCATTTTTGATGTTATTATCACCTGCTCACCTTTTATCCGAATTTCTGGGATGGGGAGCTATCATTATTTATGTTATTTACATTCAGGCTAATGTCCTCATCTTTGATGTTATTAACACCTGGTCACGTTTTATCCGAATTTCTGGGATGAGGAGCTATCAGTATTTACATAATTTATATTCAGGCTAATGTCTTCATCTTTGATGTTATTATCACCTGGTCACCTTTTGCTTGGATCACCTGCGTGTTCTTTTTTTATGAACAACTCAAACCGATCGAAACCATCACGGGAGATCGCTATCGACTACAATTGATGCGTTTGAGCCGAGCATTGAGGAAAAATGGCCGCTATACGAGCAGAGACACAACAAAGTGATTCTGCAACATGACAACGCTAAGCCGCATGTTGCAAAGCGGGTGAAAACCAACTTCAATGGGAAGTCCTACCCTACCCTCCGTATTCACCAGACATTACCCTGTCCAATTATCACCTGTTCCGAGCGATGGCACATGGCCTGGCTTAGCAGCACTTTCATTCTTATGAAGATCCCAAAAATGGATCGACTCGTGGTTAACCTCAAAAGACGTGTCGTTTTGCCGACGTGGAATTCAAATGTTGTCAGAAAGATGGGAAATGTAGTGGCTAGCGATGGGCAATTCTTTGGCGTGTTTCTTACTATTTTTTTGTAAATAAAACATATTACTTTTCATAAAAAATCAGCGAGAACTTACTCAAGGATCTAATATTAATGGAGGAGATAGATTCGCGTTTTTCCCAAAGATATTTGCGTGTAAGTGAATGTAGCAAACCTGACTCGAATTCGAACCTGGCTCTCCAATTTTTCGTTCCGAGCCGCTATTCCATCAACCGCCCACCCACCACGCTTAAATAAGGTCACCGTGATGGGATCAACGAAGAAGGATTGAAATCAATATAATAACGAACTGGTCGGAAGGGAAGCTTACGGCCACATTACGTTGAAACACCGACGTAGAGCAACGTCGAGTCTGGTCAGTACATAGATGGGTGACGCTTGGGAATACCAGGTGATGTAAGCTTGGATGTGCAGGTGGATAATGGATAATGGTTCGGAATTGTTAATCGACGAGCTTTGTTTCAATTCCACGTAGGTTCGTTATATTCACTTAGGCGTAAATACCCCTGGGAAAGTTAAGAAACTTTTCTCCCCAGCTATGGGTTAATTAGTAAATCGTTATTATCTCAAAAATAATTATTACAATCTAAAAATATTTTCTGGCTTTAAATAACCTGCAGTGGGTTGATAAGCCGTAGAAAACGAATCAATCAAAAACAACCATGGTCGTCGGAAAGAGGCTGCTACTCATGTTGCTACGGTAGACGGCCAAATCAAAATTGCCTCATAAGCTCGACTCCTGGAGAGCGTCTCACTGCGCTTTCTTGGCCTCACCTTTTCAACTGACTTGTAATGGAACAGCTATATTGAATCAATAGCTGCATCTACTGCAAGGAAAGTTGGTTCATTTCGTCGTGCCAGAAGGTTTTTCTAGTCAGAGTCCATCTTGCTCAT